GAAGGAGGGAGAGTCAGGAAGAATGCCCTGCCCAGAGAACCCTCAGAGGGGTGCCCTGACCTGTGGACATGGCTGGAAACCTTCACACCAACACTCAGGGGAGGACAGACAGAAAGGCCAGCTCTCAGGGTGGAAGCATCTTGAGGGCAGAGCAAGAGCTGGAGGTCTTCATGGCCTGCAGGCCCCACTTCCACAGAAGCTATTGGGCATGAGGGGCTATTTGAGAATCTTCCTGCTTCAATCTGTTTGCACCCTTAAGTCGCAAATCAATGCTTGGTGTGGTGGGGAATTTGGACTGGGGGAACGTGATCCTCCTATCAGGCCAGGCTTCGGGCAGGAGGCCAGGCCACGAATGGGGTTTCTGGTGGAGAGGGTGGACCCTGCCGAATCTGAAAGAGCAAGGGTCAGCCTTCCTCAGCGCTCAGCGTGGCTGCAGGGAGGCTGAGGCCAGAGGAAGGGCATGGGGAGGTAGGTGGTCAGCTCACTCTACCCTTCCCTGAACGGAACCCTGGAGCCTATCGCCCTCACAATGCCCAGCCTCTGTCTTCTCTTCGTCTCTTCTTTGTGACTATAGGGCAAAGGAGGAGCCCAACACTCCTGGGTTGGAGTGTGGATGCAACCCCAGCTGTGTGACCCTGGTGCCAGTCCCAATCCACCTCTGAACCTCAGCGGCTACAGCTGGCTTCCCCCACAACATCCAAAGAGTGTCTGTGAGGGGCTGGGGGCAGAAATATTGCCACTCAGATCCAAGACCCTGTTTGGGATGGCTCAAGGTGAGGCTGCCGTCCACGGAAATCCCCCGGAGCTTCGCAGCCTTATTGGGTGGTATCGCCTTATTAGGCGAGGAGGTGGAGGATAGACTTCCTGTCGGGGGTTTGAGCCACACAGCTTGGGTTTAAAGTCTCAGCTCGCGCTTCATCTACCAGTGCGACTTAATTCACCTCCGTGGTGTAGTAATTGAACTTTCCACGAATTTTCCTATGTAATCTTTGTTACAACCTTCTGAGGAAATGCAGACACAGAGGAAGCCATTCATTTCTTCCAAATCATTTGTTCAACCAGTGCGGTGACCTACTATGAGTGTAACATAGTTCTAGGTGTTGGCGTTGAGCGGGGACCAGGTAATTTGCCTACTAGCAGTGGATTTGAAGACCACTCCAGCCTGGCAGCACCAGCAGAACAGGTCCGCGCAGGGCTCAGCCCCACGGAACTCACAGTCTAGATGTGGGAGACAGACAATAAACGAATGAATGAGACCATTTAAAGATGCAGAAAATCACATAGGGGGAGGGAATGGGATGCGCCGTCAGCCTATTGGAGGTGGGCCAGGGCTGTGTGGGGGACCCAGGAGCCGCAGGGCGGGGGTGAGGGAGCCCCGGCGCGGCGCCCTCTCGGCGGAGCCGTCTGGGCTGCTGTCCCGACGCACGCTCCTAGGGGTAGCCGCGACGATGGCCTTCATTATTGAGTCCTGGCCCCCTCACTGCCCAACTCTTTGCGCCTTAGCGTCCCACTCTGTGCGCACACGGATAGGGGGCTCAGAGGACACCCCAAACAACTTCGCGCTTCCCGGCCGGGCCGCGCTACGGGGGAGGGGCGTGCCGGGCGCGGACTCCGTTTCCCACAAGCCCGCGCCCCGCGCCATCTTGCCGGTGGGCGGTGGCTGCCGCGGTTGGCCGTTCGGGCTGGCCGGCAGCCTCCCCTCATCCCCCACCGCCGCCCCGGCTTCCTTCGTTGGGGGCGTGGGACCCTGCTAGTCAGGGCGTCTGGGGACCCGGACAGCTCCCGCCCGCCTTCCCCACTTCTCCATCCCCGGGAGCCCGGTCCACGTGCCGGTCCGTGCGCAGGAGGGAGTTCGCCCCTCGCTGGCCGAGGGCTAGAGGACAGGGACATCGGGGACCACAGCGTCTCCTCACCAGATTCCCAGTCTGCACACGCTGTCCACTCCCCTGCATTCTTAGAGGGCCCCTATTCTCAGGTGGCCTCAATGAAGACAGAATGAGGAAGGGTCCAGGGAGGACTAGGATTCTGGCGGGAGCGCAAAGCGTCGTCCTAAGCACTTAGAACGCCTGGGTTTGGGACTGGACGGTGGCATTTAGGGGGTACGGACAGCTAAACCACCCTCTGCAAAAGAGACCCTCCCCTACCCCTGCCCGGGGGCGGAGTAAGGGAGAGGGGCGCGTAGAGGGGCTGTCCCTTTAAGGGGGTGTGGTCGGGGGGCGGAGTAAGAGCGAGACAGAGAAAGCGCTTCGGCGGCGGCAGCTCGGGCGGCGGCCGCGGGGGACAAAGGGCGGGCGGATCGGCGGGGAGGGGGCGGGGCGCGGCCAGGCCAGGCCCGGGGGCTCCGCATGCTGCAGCTGCCCCCGGGCGCCCCCGCCGCCGCCCTCGCCGCGGAGCCGCGCGGAGCGGAGCGGGCGAGCTAACCCGAGCCAGCCGGCGGGCGTCCCGGAGGCGGCGGCGCAGGGAGGGGCCCGACGCGCGCACGTGGCCCCGGCGGCCGCCATGGCGGACAGCGGGACCGCGGGGGGCGCGGCGTTGGCGGCCCCAGCGCCTGGGCCGGGCAGTGGCGGCCCAGGACCACGCGTCTACTTTCAGAGTCCCCCCGGGGCCGCAGGAGAAGGCCCGGGCGGCGCGGACGATGAGGGCCCAGTGAGGCGCCAAGGGAAGGTCACCGTCAAGTATGACCGCAAGGAGCTACGGAAGCGCCTCAACCTAGAGGAGTGGATCCTGGAGCAGCTCACGCGCCTTTACGACTGCCAGGTGTGTTCCCACCCCGCGCCGACACCTTAAAATCGATCTCGAGCCGGTCCGCCTGGGAGCCCCACTGTGAGCTCGCCTGTCACCGGAGTCAAAGGGCACTCTGCTTCCACGCGCGCTCCCCTCCTCTCTGCACTCCCCGTCCCGAATATATGCTCTTTCTTGTCTGACTTAAGTCACTTCTGTTTTCTCCGCTGCCTCAGACCCTCCGCCCCTCATGCCACTCCCCAGGTCAAGCTTAGTGTCCTCCAGAAGCCTCAAGGCGTGGCCTGGGCCTTGGGCAAGAGGCAGGGGGGCTAGTCTGGGCTGACACTGGCAGGAGGTCTCACCCCCTAGTGCCCGCTGGCTTAGACTGTGGTTACACGGAGCTAGTCTGATAGGTGGCTGGGGCTGGGCTGTTTTATGGACTAGCCTGGAACTCCATCTTGGCGTGCGTGCAGGCTAGCCCGTTTTCTGGGCTCTGCTTCTCCACCCCCATGACTCCCTGGTTATTCAGATGGTGACTCAGGCCCCGGGGGGCAGGGTGGAGGAGTGGGCTTGCCCGGTGCTGCCTGCCTACCCTAGCCCAGCCCTGGAATGCTGCTAACTCCAAACAGGATAGGGGCTTCCTGGGGAGGGTGGGGCAGGGTGGTGGGCACCCCCTCCCTCACCAAAGCATGGGCTCTTTGTTTCCTTTTTGCCAGGCCCGGGTCCTTCCCAGTGACCCCCTCAGCCTTCACTTCCTCCTCACTCCCGGGGAGCTGTGACAGGTGTTTGGGGGAGGGGAGGAGGCTATGATGAGCTGGGACAGCTGCATCCACCGGTGCTCTGGTGAGATGGGGGGTCCGGATGCTGGGGAGACACATCTGCCAGGTTCCCAGCCCAAGGTCTGTAGCCCTGGCTAGCTGGCCTTGTCTGGCACCCCTGGTGCCCACTGGCAGGGAGAGGAAACCCCTCCACCCCCCTTTGGGCAATTTGCCTTGGCACGGGCCTGATCTGTTTTCCTCCTCAGAGCAGCTGCCGTTGTGTCTGCTGGGCACAGGGCCGGGTTCCTCCGAGGTAGGCAGGGGCCTCAACCCAGAGCCCCTTTACACCCTCTAACTCAGGCTCTTGTCTCTTCCCCCTCCCCCACCCCCACCCCAGGAAGAGGAGATCCCAGAACTGGAGATTGACGTGGATGAGCTCCTGGACATGGAGAGTGATGATGCCCGGGCTGCCAGGGTCAAGGTGAGGGAGCTGGGGGGGTGGTGGGCGGAGGGCTCCCTGAGGCACTACTGTGGAGCCAGGCCCTGGAGTCTCAGCTCCTGCCTCAGCAGAATGGGGCCAGTGCCTAGCTGTGAAGTGGCCGTGGTATCTCCTGTGCCTCAGGGTGGCCCCAGTCCCTTGGAAGTGAGTATAGGTGAGCTCCAGGCCCCTACTCCTGAGGACTCACTTATCCCTCCTCCCCAATACCCTGCTAGGAGCTGCTGGTTGACTGTTACAAACCCACAGAGGTAAGAGCTTTCCCCAGGGGCAGGGTGAGGGGAGCCCGGCTCCTGACATCCTGGGGTCTGGTCTCCCTAATGTTTACCCTCCCACCCAGGCCTTCATCTCTGGCCTGCTGGACAAGATCCGGGGCATGCAGAAGCTGAGCACACCCCAGAAGAAATGAGGGTCCCCGACCCAGGCGAACGGTGGCTCCCACAGGACAATCGCTGCCCCCAACCTCATAGCAACAGCAATACCAGGGGACCCTGTGGCCAGGCCTGGTGCCATGAGCAGGGCTCCTCGTGCCCCTGGCCCAGGGGTCTTTTCCCCTGCCCCCCTCAGTTTTCCACTTGGGGTTTTTTATTGTTATTAAACTGATGGGACTTTTTGTGTTTTTATATTGACTCTGCGGCGCGGGCCCTTTAATAAAGCTAGGATACGCCTTTGGTGCAGCTAACAGACTCCACTGATCTCTTTTAGGGGGGCACGCCGCTCTGTGACTTCTGCCAGCTAGCTTCTCCCCAGGTGACCGCAGGCCTTCCTGAGGGCCACGTAGTCATGGCGATAGCCCAGTGCTGGCTCCCAGACCAGGAGCTGGAAGTGGCTAGGGAGCTGTGAGGGAGGGGGGAGCAGTATTGCTGTTGGCAGGCAGGAACACTCCTGTTTCTCTGGGCAAGGGCCACCATGCCATTGAGCCTAGGCCCCCAAGGCTACGCAGTCAGGAAAGGAGAAGGTAGGGGATGCTGGAGCTGAAGTCTCTGAGTCTCTCAGCACCCACAAACACACACAGTCACTCCATGGGCTTCTAAGGTGGTTTTTTTTTTTTTTTTTTTTAAGAACAATCTGGTCCCTGGATGGGGGCCTCTCCCCCCGCCCCTCCCCAGTCTGGCTACAGCTCCGATCGTCGCTCGATTTTGAGCAGCTCCACCTCAAACACCAGGGTTGCACCACCTGTGGGGGAGAAGTGGGGTCAAAATGCCAACCAGAGTCACAGGGAGGTGCGCTGGCTGCAGGTGATGGGGGGTCAAGAGGTTGACTACCTGGAATCTTTGGGGGAGCTCCCCGCTCTCCATACCCTGTTGAAGATGCAGAAAGAAACGGTCAGCGATGGCCAAGCTCCCTTCCAGCCTGGGCAAAGGGAGAGCGTTCTGCCCCTCAGCAAGAATGGCAGAAATGGAGAAGGTGTAATGGAGATGGGAAGGGGGTGCCAAAGGCCTGGCAAGGGCAGAGCCGGGCCACTACAGCTGAGTGCTTCAAGGATCTTGCCCTGTCCTCACTGCTAGACACAGCCAAACTTGGACGACGCATGTATTATAATAGACATGGAGAAGACCAATGAAAGGCGGAAGCAGCTTTCACCCTTCCCAGTCACACACCCCAAACCCACTCTGCACCCTCAGAGGGGCCTCTTACCCAGCTCGGATGGGATCACCAGCTTGCGCTTTTCCCCCTCACACATCCTGCAGGAAGACACATGCTCAGCCCACGGCAACACCCAGGGCCCCTGTCCTGTGTCCCTGGGGCTTGCCTCCCACAGCTTACCTCTTGGGTGGTGGCCATGCACACCCCCCCTGCTCCCAAGCCGATTCCCCCACGACTCACCCCAGCAGCCCCTGGTCCCAGCCCTTGATGACCTGGACTGTGCCAAGGGAGAAGACAAAAGGCTGGTTCTGGGGCAGGCTGCTGTCAAACTCCGTCCCATCTTCCAGCTTCCCCTGTGGGACCACGGGAAGGCCAATGAGGAGGAGGGGACCACCCCTGACACCCCCCTCCCTCAGCTGCTCTCCCCATCAAGCTGGCTCCCACAGCACTGGTGGTCAGTCCTTTTTGTTTTTTTAAATGGAGTCTCACTCTATTGCCATGGCTGGAGTGCAGTGGCAGGATCTTGGTTCACTGCAGCCTGCGCCTCCTGAGTTCAAACAATTCTCCCACCTCAGCCTCCCAAGTAGCGGGGATTACAGGCGCCTGCTACCATGCCCAGCTAACTCTGTATTTTTAGTAGAGACAAAGTTTCATCATGAGGCCAAGCTGGTCTCAAATTCCTGACCTCAGATGATTCACCCAACTTGGCCTCCCAAAGTGCTAAGATTACAGGTGTGAGCCACCGTGCCCAGCTGGTCATAGTCCTTTAAGAGACAGAGTCTTGGGCAGCTGACAGTACACTGTCACTGCCTGCTGGTGCCCACCTGGGCAGTAGGCAAGGGCAAGGCAGAACCATGAAAACCGGCTTAGAGGGGAGAGGGGACTTTCCCAAGGTCACCTACTTGGCTAATGGAGAACCAGACTCCCAAGCACTTTCTGGTCCTTGGAAGCCCCACCCATTCCCAAAAGGCTGCCCATCCCACTCACCGTATAGTGCATGTGCAGGACATCCCCTTTACGAGATTTGATGGGACAGTGGTCCACCCGTTTCTTGACCCCGACCTGCAGCTTCCTTTTGCCCTCGGCCCCTGTGGCCGTGGCCACGGCGCTCAGGCAGATGGACAGTACTGTCAGGACCTGGACCCAGCTCAGCCTCATGTCTCTGTGGGCACAGACCCCGACCGACAGACTGAACGGGGCGGGGTGGGGGGGGAGACAGGGAGGGCATGGAACACGGGTAGGTACCAGGAGGGTCCGACCACCACTGTATCTTGCTTGCCCCGGGGATCCCCTTTATCCCGGGTCACCGCCCTCTCCCCCGGGCTTCGGGGCCACACTTACCAGTCCAGTGAGAAGGGGGCTTGGCCGAGGACCCCAGCAGCGGGGGGAGGGGGTCAGGGGAGGCCACAGCAGCCAGGGCCCCGCCCCTTTGCTCACCCCCATACCTTCCCTCCCTCCCGGTCCCCACCTCCGCTCTTCAGTTCCCACCCGTCCCTTTACGCAAAGTCCAGACCCTATCTGGCTGCACAGCAGTTGCCCCGACTGGGCGGTCCCACTCACGCCACACCCAGCTGCCCTCGGCCCAGCACACCCACATCTCTGCGGCCGTTGCAGGGGGTCGGCCCCGAGGCACCCACACATCCCCGCTGGGTGGCTCCGAGGAGCCCGGGTCCTCGGAAGATACCCCCCAGCTTGGCCCTGTGCCTCCGCCAGGGGCGCCGCCCCAGCTCTGAGCCCTTGGGGGTCTCCGGGGCACCCAGACTGGCCCTGTGTCCGCTGGCCGCCGAGACCGCTCCACCCACACCACCTCTCCCGGAGGAGTTCTCGGCCTACCGCGTCCCCAAGCTCGACCACCACGGAGACCACCCCCGCGTCGACGCCCGGGGCCATTACTCGGGCCGGGCTCCTCACTTGGTTCTTTGGCACCGCCTTTCGGAGGACGCGGTGCCGCCCCCGGGCCTGCAGCCCCGCCTTCGTCAGAACTAGACCCCTTTTCCGGAGCTGTAGCCACGCCACTCACCGGCTGAAGCCCCGCCCCCAGCGCCTGCACTCCCTTCCCCTCTGCTTCCGACCCCGAGGCTCCGCCTTTCACCTCCTCCAGCTCCTCCTTCAAAAGCCAGGCTCCGTCCCCCGACCCTCCTAGCTCCGCCCCCCGCCGCCGGGCTCCGCCTTCCACTGGCACCAGCTCGGAGGTCCCACCCTTCCCGGTTCCACGCCCCGCCCCAAGCCCCAGGACTCCGCCCTGTGCGGCGTGAGAACCCTCCCCCTGCGGCATCTCCGGACAGCTCCAGCCAATTTCCACCCCCAATTTCCTCGTCACCTAGTTCTCGTTGACACTCGGAGCCCGGCTCGCTCCTGCCCGGCCTGATCCAGCCTGCCCTCTTGCACCCCGGGTCCCCCCGGCCCGGGCTGTGGCCCCCGCTCACCTCCTCGCCGCGCCCCCGGAGCCAACCCCGGTGGTGCTGCTGCCTCTGCGCAGGCGCGTCCTCGTCGCTACGAGGCCGGGCCACGCCGCCCTCCCTCATTGGGCCGTGCGAAACCCGCGGCCACAAGCCCGCTGGCGCGGCACTTTCCCTAGCCCCGCCCCCGCAACGCCGCTACCCTGCGTCACTTCCGGCGGAGAGGTAGTCCGAAAGGTTAGGTGAAAGTGACTTCCGAAAAGTCCGGAAGCACTTCCGGCCGAGGTGATAGTAGGGTCAGGCGGGCATGGGTTCCCGGAGGGGGTCTTGAGGCGCCATTTCAAGTCGCTTCCAGCCTCTCCCACAGCACTCTCATCATGGCCCACAGCCCTCAGTCGCCGTGGAAAGATCCTGGGCTTCAGATTTGAATTCCGGGTCTGCAACTTGACTGGCTGTGTGCTTGGTAGAATCTGGCATCCGACACAGGCGTGTAACACGGGCTTGATGACACCCACCCCACCGGGCCCCTGTAGGACCAGATGATTTCCAATGCCAAGCCCTGACCTGCCAATGCTCCTGCCCGCGTCTCTCTCCCAGGAGCCAGGCTTACCTCTACCTGTGCAGCTGGGCTCTGACTCTTGACTGGAATGATCTGGCTGGGCCCGTTCCCCCACCAGATTTATTTTCAGGGGCCCCAGCACCCACCAAACATCAACTGAAGTTATGAGCCTGCAGTTGAGAGGCAGCTAAACCTAGCTTGAAGGTTCCGATGTGAGGGCCAATCCCCAGGCCAATTAGCCTTTTTGAGCCTATTGCCTCAATTGAAAAAGGAAGACAATCATCATGCTGACCTCAGAATTGAGGAGATGCATGTGAAGCATTGCGGGTGTCTGGGGGGGCTAGGTGGGCTCTGGAGGTGGTAGTTCTGGGGCCCTAACCCTCCTCTGCCTCATGCTAATTGACCTGTGGCATGTCCGGTGACATCATGACTGAGAAAATGATTTGAAAGTAGTAATCGCTGTCAGGAATTGTCTCCTCCTTCAACCCACTGCTGCCTTGGGCCCACTACGATCATAACCACATGTTCTGACCCAGCACCTCAGAGAAAACCTCCATTAGGGTAGTTGTCCCTCCACTCAGGTGGCTGCCCCTCCATGCAGGTGGCTGCCCAATTGAGTTAACTCTGCCCCTGAGTCCTGCCTCAGTGGGCAAAGCACTGGTGCCCAAGGCTGGCCTTTTATACATCCCAAACTACTCAGCCCTGGGCACTGGAGGCTGCAGGGAGAAGGGGGAGGGGCTGGGCTTGGGCTGCGATAGACAAGTCAGGTGAATCTCAGGCAGCAACTGCAGGGTTCAAGGGAAGTGAAGATGGAGAAAACTGGGTTGGGTGGGCGCGGTGGCTCATGCCTGTAATCCCAGCACTTTGGGAGGCTGCGGTGGGCAAATCACCTGAGGTCAGGAGTACAAGACCAGCCTGGCCAACATGGTGAAACCCTGTCTCTACTAAAAATACAAGAAATTTGCTGGGCATGGTGGCAGATACCTGTAATCCCAGCTACTTAGGAGGCTAAGGCAGGAGAATGGCTTGAACCCGGAAGGTGGAAGTTGCATTGGGCCGAGACCACGCCATTGCACTCCATCCTGGGCAACAAGAGCGAAACTTCATCTCAAAAAAGAAAAAAATACAAAAATTAGTTGGGTGTGGTGGCCGGTGCCTGTAATCCCAGCTACTTGGGAGGCTGAGGCAGAAGAATTGAACTCAGGAGACGGAGGTTGCAGGGAGCCAGGATCGTGCCATTGCACTCCACCCTGGGCAACAGAGCAAGACTCTATCTCAAAAACAAAAGAAAAAGAAAACTATGAGGGTTGTGGTGAGCGGAGCCTGCTGCCCAAACCAGGCCCACCAGCCCCAAACCTTTGGTGCTTCCCTTTCAGGGAAGTGGGAGTGAAGTGAAGACAGGGCAGGCGCCGGGGCTTTAGAGTCAAGCTACAGGGAACAAAAAGCAGCAGATGCTGCCAGTGTGGCCCGGCAGGAAGAATGAGTGTCCTTTTCCATTGTCTGAAGATGGTCTCAAGCTTCTCCGCAGCCCAAGGACCCCAGCCACAGCACTCTTCTGTTCCCTATGTGCACATGTGGAAATTGCTACTCAGAGAGGCAGGGGCAGTGATAAGCAAGGTCACTCAGCAGATCTGGGTCCCACCCCAAGCGCTCTGGCCACAGAAGGCTGTCTCCTTCCAGAAAAGAACCCCGGTGAGAAGCAGGACTGGCACTCTGTATCAGCTGGGCTCTCCCTGACCTCCATGCCTGGCAATAACACGAAAGTGATGAATCCATGATTCCAGCCCTGCCTGGGATCTGCGGCGGCTCCTTAGTCCTCATTTCCTTCATCTGCATGATGAGGGAGGGAGACAGGCTATGGATTTAGTAATGCAGACATTCATGCCCAAACCAGCCAGCCTGGACAGTGACAAACAGTGATACAGGCAGGGACAGCTGCTTTCCATCTCTTTTATCAGGGTCAGGGGTCACAGTTCTCATACCGAAGCCTGAAGCCCAAATCCCTTTAGGCAGAGGTTTGGGTCTTCTTAGTGAGAGGAGGAAGAGCCAGTTGTAAGATGCTTACTTGCCCAGGGTGGTTAGAAGCTGAGACAGTACCCCATTTTCCCCTGAGCTGGTATATGACCCCTCTTGCTGCCTCCCAGTCTCCTCTTCCAACTCTGTCCAGTTAGATGACAGCCTCAGGGAGACGAGGGATGGCAGGAGAGCCCTCTGAGAGGCGCAGGTCCTGGAGCAGCTTCTGCCTGGGCTGAGGTCTTGGGGGCTTGGCCCTTTTCACCAGGCTCCTCTCTGTTCCCCCATTAGGGTATGGCCTCTTGAGGCAAGTCACCCCGGTGAGTCTGAAAAGCCGTATGTCACCTTCGGAGCTTCCGGCACCTGAGGAGGGAGGATGTGATGTGTTCATGCTGCTGGAACTCAGCCCCAGCCCTGGACTCACTTGTGCCTCGGGCCCATTAAGTTCACAACCTAGGCATCCTGCCACACCACTCAGCCTTGGGCGCTGGAGGCTGCAGGGACAAGGACGAAACTTCTGTGAAGCCCATCCTCTCCCGATACTCCTGGGAAGCTCACACTGGCCTGGCCCATATGATGTCACCCCATGGCCTCACTGTGGGACACGGGTGGTGAGAGACACTTCAGATAAGGGTAGATGAGGGTTCCACTATGTCCCCTGGCCTCTTGAAGCCCATAGGTAGGGTAGGCATCTACCACAGAGGCTTCTGGGAAGGCCCGAACTGCAAGCTGGAAAAGCTGTGGCACGCATTTCTTTCTTTCTTTTTTTTTTTTTTTTTGAAACAGAGTCTTGCACTGTCGCCAGGCTGCTGGAGTGCAGTGGCACCATTTCGGCTCACTGCAACCTCTGCCACCCAGAATCAAGTGATTCTCCTGCCTCAGCCTCCCGAGTAGCTGGGACTACACGTACACACCACCATGCCCAGCTAATTTTTGTATTTTTAGTAGAGATGAGGTTTCACCATGTTGGCCAAGATGGTCTTGATCTCTTGACCTCGTGATCTGCCTGCCTCAGCCTCCCAAAGTGCTGGGATTACAGGCATGAGCAACTGCGCCTGGCTCTGTGGCCCGCATTTCTACTCCAGGCAGATGTCGCCTCCTCCAAGAGATCTCTGACCTCTGAAACATCAGGCCAGGTGCTCCTCACCACAGCCCTTGACATCCTCTGCTGGCATCATCCCTCCTGTATCTGACTCCTGAGTTAGAATGTTTGACTTGCTTACGCAGCTCCAATTACCAGCAGCTGCCTGGTAAATTTTTTTTTTTTTTTTTTTTTTTCTGAGACGGAGTTTCACTCATGTTACCCAGGCTGGAGTGCAATGGCGCGATCTCGGCTCACCGCATCCTCCACCTCCTGGGTTCAGGCAATTCTCCTGCCTCAGCCTCCTGAGTAGCTGGGATTACAGGCACGCACCACCATGCCCAGCTAATTTTTTGTATTTTTGGTAGAGACGGGGTTTCACCATATTGACCAGGATGGTCTCGATCTCTTGACCTCGTGATCCACCCACCTCGGCCTCCCAAAGTGCTGGGATTACAGGCTTGAGCCACCGCGCCCGGCCCCTGGTAAATATTTGTTCAACATATTCAACAGCTTCCCCTTCCCTGGCCCTCCTCCTACTGGCAGGCTCACTGCAGACCTGCTCCAGAGCAGGGCCTTGATGCGTTTCCAAACAAATACCACCCCACAGATGCCTCACCTGCAGGTGTCTGGGTTGAGCTCTAAGCCCCGCCCTTGGCAACGGAGGAAGCTGCGGCGTCGGCAGCGGCAGCGGCAGGTCCGGTGGTCAGGGCGCTGGTGGCGCTGGGTGCAGCGTGGGCAGAGGGGCCTGGGGCTGGAGTAGGATGGGTGATGTCAGCTGGGGAGGGTGCTCCGGGGGCAGAATCCCAGCCCGGAACAGAGCGGGGCTGGGGACGGTGGTGGGGAGTGGCAGCCCTAGGGAGGAGAAGCGACATGTCTGGGGTGGGAAGGAAGAGTCTTCCCTGGAGCTGGGGTCAGGGTAGAGCACACAGGCTTTGGGAGCAGAGGAAAAGGGAAAGCGGGCGACAGGTGAGAGGAGAAACATGGGAGGGGCGACAGCTTCCAGACTCACTGGTACTCCCCTTACCCCCACTCAGCTGGAGTCCAAGAGACTCACCTGTCCGGCTTCACAGCACTGTCCTTTCTTTTAGGTCTGAAAAGTAACAGAAATAGACAGAGACAAGAGGAGGAAGATCAGGAAATCCCAGTATCTCACTCTTTTTTTTTTTTGGAGACTGAGTTTTGTTCTTCTTGCCCAGGCTGGAGTACAGTGGCATGGTCTCAGCTCACTGTAACCTCCGACTTCCTGCTGTCTCAGCCTCCCAAGTAGCTGGGATTACAGGTGCCCACCACCACACCCAGCTAATTTTTGTATTTTTAGTAGAGACAGGCCATGTTGCCCAGGCTGATCCTGAACTCCTGACCTTAGTGATCCACCCGTCTCATCCTCCCAAAGTGCTGGGATTACAGGCAAGAGCCACTGCACCCAGCCTAAGCATCCTACTCTCTTGCCCCAGATCCGAGGCCTACGCTTGGCTCTACTCTTAGGAACCTGGTTCCC